TCACCGTCGCCTCTATCATCGCCTCTGTCGTCAGCGTCACCTCTATCATCGCCCGTGGATGCATGTATTCCCGACGCAAAGAAATCGTCGTCGTCGCTGGATGTGGTGTCGAACAAGAAGTCACCCTCGTCCCAACGCATGCGGGCCCTGCAAATGCAACCATCCGTCCGCTGTCGCCGAGTCCGAGGAGCGGAACCCGCATCGCCACGTGTCCATCCTCCGACACCTGCTCGTCCACGGCCGCCACATCCCCGACCACCGGCCTTGCGTCGCCTCCTGTCCGACTCCGCCACCCGACGCTCGGCTCCCATGCGGAAAACGGCGCGCATCCTCTCTCTGGTGATGCTCAACTCCTCCTCGGTCACGCTGGCCAGCGCACCGGTGCCTCTGACTAGCTGCTGGTCCACGGCCGCCTCGTCCTCCACGGCCTGCCAATAATGCACCCATTTCCCGAAGACGTCGGGCCTCTCCCCAACACCGTCGTCGCACAATGAAGGTCGATCGAGTAGCCTGAGGTTCCAGTGGCACTGCACAAGCTTCTCAGCCTGAGGAACCTCCAACCTGTTGCGAGACTTCGAATGAATGAAGCTCCAACGAGACGAGGCTCTCTCGCACGGTGATGCGGTCGCCCATATACGAAGGATCCTGCCTGCAAACACCGCCGTGTGAGGGAACTTCCCCTTCTTAGAGGACCAAAAACTGGCAGGGTGATCAAAGATATCCGCAGCTCGCCGCATGGTGAGCTCATCGAAAGGGGGCTCCCTCGTGTGGAGCTTCGCGACCGCTCGTTGGACCTCCCGGTGCTGAGGCGATCCCTCCGAGTAGCCGAACTGTACCAGGGCCTCGACCAAGGCCTGCTGCACCTCCGCATCGTCACACAGCGTCGCGTCCCGGAACTCTGGATCTAGCAGCATGGCTGCTGTGCGGGCGGGGGTCTTGAACATGGTGCGCCGCCTAATGAAAACCTCGACAATAGCGTCCTGCTGGTCCCGATCAATGTCACGACATGCAGACAAACAAGACGCAATCATCTCCTCGTACCGTCGCAGAATCTTGCTGATTTGGCGTGTGTCGCTGTCCACCAACTTCAGCATGCCCATGATGGGCTCGAGCATCTTGCACAGAGCTCTCAAATCCTCCCACCATGGAGGGGAGCCGATACACGCAGTGACCTCCGCGGCGTCCTTGCGGATCTTGCTGGTCGACCAAACAGTCTCACGCCAACGATCGTCGCCCACARCACCTGTCAACGSTGCCCRCAGTTCCACCAACCTCTCCATCATGATGACGTTCGTGYCGAAACGCGTCTCCGCCGGYAGCAGAAGAGTCTTCGTCGAGTGCGCCTCAAGAACCTCTCTCGCATGTCCATGGCGCTTGAAGAACCGTGTAACCAGCCTCGCTTGCGCAATGCGGGAAGCCACCCAATCAATCTCGCCGATGTCCTCGAGAATGAGGTCCATGACGTGGGCGACGCAAGGAATCCAGAAGATGTGTTTCACGCTCTCATCTTTTTGGAATACCTCCATCGCCGCGACATTCACCGCAGCGGAGTCCGTCACGAATGCTGTGATGTCGCTCAATTGAATGTCCATGGACTTCACTCTTTTCAACCATGCGTTCGCGAGGGCACTGGCATCCTTTTGGCCGCGCATGACGTCGGTGGCCATATACACTACCCCGATCTCTGTCCCAACAAGGTAGTTGCACAACGTCTGGCCACGGATGTTGGTCCAACCATCGGTCATGATTGTGCAACCGGTCTCTCTCGACGTGTCAAGCACCGGCCGAACACACTTCTGGACCTCACCATCCAGTTCGTCCAAAAGGGTCGTGCGCAGCATGTGGTAGGAGGGAAGTCTAGGCGCGGCCGCCCCCGGAACCCCCGGCGGGATTATCATCGTGAACATGCGTTTGAAGCTTTCAAGCTTCGAGCAGTTGAACGGCATCCCGCTCTCGACGATGAACCGCATGATCTGCAGATGCCACGCACACTCCAAAGGGCCGGAATAATATGACGTGACGGCCTGCTGCCTGTAAGTGCCCCAGCATCGTGCCGTCGTGGCTCTCCCGCCGAGGACCCCGGCATCCAACATCCCGCCAGGACTCACAGGTGTCGTGCTCTGGGTGACTGCAAGGTCGCGAATGCGCTGCAAAGGGTCTAACGATCCGGTCAACACGGGTGGAGGCTGTGGGGCAGACCGACCACCACCCGTCGTCGTCGGAATCGGGGTCGGCGATGAATCGGACACCGGAGCGGGGACCTCCTCCGCAGGCACCCCATGAACAGCCTGTTCACCGAAATGAGGCACGGGGGCAGATTGTCGAGCATCTGCAGGTGCGTGTGACGGATCCGGTCTCGTCACGGTTGAATGATCGTGGTGGACCAGTGGATGCTGCGCCGCTCCAGACGGGGGCGGTGGCAACCAGGGGTGCTCCGATGAACCGTGGAGCGATGCGCCATGCGCGACCGCAACACCACCCTATGCGGCATCTGATTGTCTAGCACCCCTGAATACAGGGGCAAGCACCGATGAACTGCTGACACTCCCCCCCCACCTGCGACTCTCAAGAAAAACACGTGTGCTATCCTCGTTAAATGCCTCAGAGTCCGCGCTATTCCTCACAGGCGGGGGCTCGTCGGCTGGCGCGGAACGACCAACTTCCACATCGTGAGCACCTCGTGTCGCAGCCAGCGGTGGAGACGGCGGGGCTGCCGGTCGGGTTGCAACTGTTGTCGCAGGACGCGATGTCGTGACTCGAATAGCGGGAGCCCCAGAATTGGGCGATGCGACCGGTCCTGAAGGGGCGGTGGCAGGAACCGGCGGCGGCACTGCGTCCTCGGGGAATCGAAGAGGTGGCCACTGCAAGCTCGGATGGCCTGGCAAAAAGCTCTGCAAAGTTTCAATGGCCGACGCGAACTCCTTCGGACATTTTGTCATGTCCTTCGACTAAATCGTATACCACACAGCAGGAGTGGCTGCCTCACTACGGAACTTCTCAGTCTTCGAGAAGTGTTCCTTGGCGGCTTTAACGCCCCCACAAATCGAACGCCCGCACAACCTGCACAGACATCGACGACCACACTTCCTACCCGCCGTCGTTGACCGATCCAAATAACGCCCTCTGGCCACGAAATGCCACACTGGGTCGTCCCTCTTGCCGTCGACTTTCGGGTCGACCTTGAACGGCGAGTCAAACGTCTTCGTATTATGACCTTGTCGGGCGCTTGTGGACGAGTCCATCGGATCCTTCCCCCGGTCCTGCGACATGATGAAAGCCTCTACCCGCGAGAAGRAGACGATGTCGGAATCCTCTGATAATGTTGCCAACTCGCGACAGAGATCGAAGTCGGCAGTCAGAGCGGCAAAGACATGCTATGAAACAGGAAAAAACAACGAACGCAAAAGTGCAGAACAACTGGAGTCCCGGACATCAAAGGGAAAACACAAAATGACATGAAACGCAAAAACAAGCAACCAAACAACAACGAAAAAAACTCTGAGGAAGATGAGGAAAAAAAACGCCGATGTTCTCTGTCCCTTGCAATGATGAAAAAAAAAAAAAAAAAAAAAGACCCACGACGCACACACAAAGACTTACAGAAACAATAGGGCGATCCCACTAACTCCACACACCAACGAGAGAGAGAGAGAGAGAGAGAGAGAGAGAGAGAGAGAGAGAGAGAGAGAGAGAGAGAGAGAGAGAGAGAGAAGTCCCACTAAATCCCACTAACAGGAGGGCGATCCCACGAACTGACACTAAAAGGAGGGCGGAACATCCGAATCCCGGAGGGCAATTTCACTAACTCCCAGTCTCCCAGTAACATGAGGGCGGAACATCCGAATCCAAGAGGGCGATCCCACTAACTCCCAAACTTCGGCGTCGTGTGGCTGTCAACTGCAGTTTAGTCATCCACGTCGGAGGGCCAGGCCGTTTTCCGAAAAAGAAAAGAAGAAACAAGAAGGCCCCAGGACCGCTGAGATCCGCCCTGGGCCCTGGAGTCCTGGACCCACTAGCGGCCCAAGGCCCCAGAACCGCTGAGATCCGCC